TGACCAATAATCATTGACCAATAATCATTGACCAACACAAAAAATTAATTTAATGAAAAGTTTCAAGCAGAAGATCTTATCATTTATAAAATCATGTTTTTAATATTATTCTCATCAGAAATAAAACAGCTGTTTAGAGAAACAAACCTGCACCTACAGCAGTTCTTCAAATATTAACTTTAAAATTATTTTAATCTGTTATGATTAGGGCTGCCATGATTAGTCTTTTTTTTTTGTTGTTGTTCTTGTTTTTCTCTCCAAACTGCTTTGACACCTACATGCTCAGTATTGGTAACCAGGACGTCACATTATACAGACAGGCTCTGGTATCATGGCTACCCTGCAACGGAGCTCAAAAGTGTGGGATCATTTTAAGAAAATGAAAGAGAAACCTGTGTAATATCTGCAGAGCAGAACTTACCTTCCACAGCAATTATTTTTAGTTAGCATATAGCTAAAATCTAACCATGGTTATATAGTAGCAGCTGCATTCTGACGTGATAAGCTGTATGTTTTATATTCAATTAACGTATGATCCAATTAGTCGACTAATCAAATAAATAATCGGTGATTAATCAATTATTAAAATAATCGTTTGTGGCAGCCCTACCTGCGGTAGAAATTTATACTCTACCGTTCTACCGTCATTACATCATCGCACCTGTGTCAGCATGGCTGCGAGTGCAGAGACAACTGCACATGAGTTTGAAATATAATGAAGAAATTCTAGCGTTTTAAAACACTTAGAGAGAATAAATCCTCAAAATTTCCTCCTCCCGCTGTAGAAAAGTTACGTCGTGTTGCGGGATCATTTCCTCCTCTCCCACTGCACGTCACGCAGAGCGAAGCTTTAACAACTGCAGTTTTCACACACAATTGTCGGAGAAAAGAAAWGTTTTTTATGTATTGTTACCCACAGACATTATAAAAAAAAAAGAAGTTGATGTTCGTTCAGTCGTAAATCCAACTTGCTAATGTAAAGGCGGCTTCTGCTCTGATGATGATGATGATGATGAAGATGAGCGCGCAGCAGAGCAGCAGCTGATAGCAGGCAGATATTAAAGCAAAAATGTTGGGTTTAATTAACATTACAGTTTTCTACAAAAAAAACTCTAAAAATTACATTATCTTTACTTTTTATGATAATTTTCTACCGCGATATATACCGTTACCGTGAAGGGGTTCAATTTATACCGTGATATGAATTTGAGGTCATACCGCCCAGCCCTACGTCTTTATAAAATAACCGCGGTCACCCGCACACCGCTTCAAAAGTTTACGAAAGTTTAGAAAATTTACGTTGTGCAAAAAAAATGTTTTAAACTCTTGGCAAATCCACGGTTCAAAGCCCTGCGGCGTCGCCAGCTGGAAGAAGACGCTCCTTTAGCTGAAAGCCTTGCTCACCAGGCTCTGCTGCAGAGGTCAGAAACCACCACGCRCCTGGAAAATACCTGACGCCACAGTTCCCTCCTCCCTACGCCGAGAGTAGAAAAAGAACGAGACACGTATAAAACAAGCAGGAAAATGCAAAAACATTAAACTCGTTTTAATTAACCTTGCGATTAAATTGATTAATTGCTCGTGGCGACGGGCCTAGCCGTGTGTAAACACGAACCTGCTGCTGCCTTTCGATCGTTGAACTGATCAGATTTTATCGCTGCGAAGACTTAAAAAGTTGCTGCATTCAAATCTAATCTCAGCCGTGCGCCGCGTGTTAAACTTCACAGCACGCCTGAACGCACAAAAATCGAACTTAAAAGTGAACGAAACTCCGCCCACAACGACCTGCTGGAACCTGGTGCCCCAAACTCCACCCACAACAACCTGCTGGAACCTGGTGCCCCAAACTCCGCCCACAACAACCTGCTGGAACCTGGCGCCCCAAACTCCGCCCACAACAACCTGCTGGAACCTGGCGCCCCAAACTCCGCCCACAACGACCTGCAGGAACCTGGTGCCCCAAACTCCGCCCACAACGACCTGCTGGAACCTGGTGCCCCACCTGGGCCATCTGAAGCAGCTCAGGGTGTTGATGCAGCAGACCTCGGGGGAGTCAAAGTGCAGCGTGCGCGTGCGTGTGCATGTGGTGTGCTGGGT